AGCTATTTGGAAGAGAAACATGTCATAAAAGATTTCATAAAATGTCTCTACATCCGTGTTTTCAACCAGTGAGCCTTGGTGCGTTAGTGTGTCATCCGAAATGATCCAATATCACCTTTAGCCAAGATTTAGAAATACTCTATATTACTTTTCAAACTTTTTTGATTGTTTATACAAACCACTTTGTACTAAATGCAGCGTCCATTAAAGGCTGCAGCTCTTTTTTCCTAGCACCAGTTTCAACTGTGCGTGTGATTGTTTTAAATGAGTGACGAGCCCCGGTTCAGAGGTTGAAAACACTGCTTTAAATATCCGTATTACCAAGATCATGCAGTCAAAATCAATAATTCTAAACTTCTCCGCGTCTATAACTTTAAATAACAATAATAGTTTTAATAATAAAACTCATCTAAATCATGCACAAATATACTGCTGTTCTAATCTTCTTGTGTCTCATTCTAGAGTAAGAGTCTAATAATTTTGACGATTGTCTTGTAATCATTCATGCAGTTAAATGTAGTGTTTTGAACGTATGACCTAAATGTGTAAATATGACCTAAATGTCCTTAATGTCTTGGTGCGTTTGTTGCCTGTCTGTATATTACCTTCTGTCTGTTTCATTTAGCCCGCCACGTCCTCCTCTTATGGCGTCTTTCAATTGTCTTTGTCTCATAGTGTCCAATGTCCTTGTCTCAATGTCTTTTTTCTTCTTCTTTCAATCAATCACTTTCTTTTTTCTTCCGATAACTTTTTCTCATAATGTCTTTCTTCTTCTTTTCAATCACTTTCTTCTCCTTTCAATCTTTTTCTTCTCCTTTCAATCTTTTTCTTCTCCTTTAAATAACTTTCTTTCTCAGATCCGACGCACACAAATGTGTCGTGTCTTTCGCTTGGTTTACACCGTTCCTCTTCGCGCACATAACTTCCCTCAGTTTTGTGCAAAAGTCTGTGGTCTTTTCTTTGGCATGCTGTTAGAAATGGAGGCTGGAGAAGTCTTCTTCGAGCTGCTGCAGCCGATGCTGCTGTCTTTGGTGCCCCCTGTGGGTCGGGGGAGACGCTGATGGTCCATTTTAGTAGACGCTCAGTTGAGGCTTGTGGCGCGGACGATTTTGGCCAATGAAACAGACAGAAGTTTTCTCAGAAAAAAACAGACAAACAAGAAGCACAAACAAGTGTGTTAATTACCATACAAAACCAATGATTAATTACAAATCAAAATAAACCTATGAAATAATTAATATTAACATTTTAAACATTAGATTCTGAAAACCGAATTCTGCATTTAACTGCTATCCTAAGCCCTATTTTTCCAAAAGTATAATGCTCTCTAAGATCATTCTAACTTTTATATCACCAAAATGTAGGGAAAAAATGTTTAATATCTTTTTCTAGACGCCTCGGAGATAAAAGTAAAAATAATGCCTCTTTATAATCTAACTCAAAGTTCTGTGATCATATGACTCCATGTCAGTAACATTATCGTGTGTATAAATGTAATTTTCTACAAAAAAAATATATATTTGGTAATAGTTCTGTCGTCACGAGAGAGAGAGCAGACAGAAAGAGGGAGGGGAGGGGCCTCCCGAACAAAGGAAAAACATGGACGTCTGAAATACATCCTCCTGTTAGCTACATTTTCCTCGTTTTTATTGTGACAAATCAGCGGTGAGAGTTCTCTCACGTCAAACGACACTTTACATTTTATCCTTAAATACGTCAGTAATGGAAAACATTACAATTTGCTTACATGACTAATAGTCCCAGCAGAATCTCTCTTTTTTCTGATTCTCTGTAACTATTAAACATTACATCAGAATACAAGAGAACTCCCAGAACTGATCTTTTGTCATTTCTTCACATGAAAACTCGTATCTTACTGCCAAGTGGCTCTCTTTTTTCCTCATTAATCAGATCATTATTAGTCAATAGTCAGAATCCGCATTTTAATCTGCTTTTTGTTTAAATTAAACGTACCCTTTTTCCCGCCCCCCGGGGGATATGGAAGGTTTTTATTATCCTGTTCTGACCCTAAAGCTGTCCCTATTTCTAATTTCTATTCCTATTTTCACTATACTTGTGCCTCTCTGCACGTTAAGAAGGTGTGCCTCTTCTGCACTTCTAAAAACTCTTGTGGACTTTCTCTTCTTCGTTCTGTTTTTTTAGAGGGAGACCCACTTTTTCCCTCAAGGCTAAAACGTCGAAACCTAACTATTGTTCTATCGCGTCCTATAGAACGCCCATCACGGCGGTCTGTCCACACTGCAGTCCGTCGAGCCGAATTCTCTCTCTCTTCCATTTAAAACAATGTGCAAATTTTCAAAAGTACGATCTGCTTACCTCTTTTGAAGCGACTTTTTCGAAGAGAAGAGAGAATTTCCCAGGCCCACGGACCCAGTCTATATCTGAGCCAGTCCCCGTCCTGTTCCTGCACAATCACGTCGGGGTCACCAAATGATGCCAAAGAAAACTTTGACGGACGTGTCCAGGATTATGCAGGATACAATACAAGGACTTTTTCGAGTTTAACATCTGTATTTAATTTATCTTTACAATCAGATACAGAAATTCAAACAAAAGCTCCTAAACTATGCCTGCTCTCCCTATGCTTGCCCTGTCCTGACTGTGTCCAAAGACCTTCAGGGAGGTTAAATGTAGGAGACTTCCGATGACGTCATTCATATGCGCCCAAGGGTTTTCCATCCGGGTGTGCTGGCGTCCCTTGTCCACTGGGAGGCGTCAGAATGCCGTTGGTGAATCCCCTTTTTGCCTGATTGTGATGGACTTTGCTCTCGTCAGAAGAGTGAAGCAGATAATGTTTATTATCTAAAGTTAATAATTCGCCTTATTCAAAGGCGATATCTTTTTATGATTCCTGTCTGCTTATCCTGTGTCCTTGTGACTTAAGACCTGAGGGCACAGGTCTTTTTGGCTATGATGAAAATTAGAGTTCAAATGGTCAAATATTGTCACATCTGTTTAGTGTATATTTAAAATATACAACAATATCAAGCCGCATTTCAGGGGCTTTTTTCGGGGAGAAATCCTCCGCACACTCACGCTGGCCAGTGGTGCATTTAGGACCGTTTTTTCACGCGTTTTTCGGGCATTACACCTGCACAGGGACTCCGTGGTTCTGGGACCTGCATTGCTCTATATCAAGCCGCATTTCAGGGGCTTTTTTCGGGGAGAAATCCTCCGCACACTCACGCTGGCCAGTGGTGCATTTAGGACCGTTTTTTCACGCGTTTTTCGGGCATTACACCTGCACAGGGACTCTGTGGTTCTGGGACCTGCATTGCTCTATATCAAGCCGCATTTCAGGGGCTTTTTTCGGGGAGAAATCCTCCGCACATTCACGCTGGCCAGTGGTGCATTTAGGACCGTTTTTTCACGCGTTTTTCGGGCATTACACATCCACAGAGTCTCCGTGGTTCTGGGACCTGCATTGCTCTATATCAAGCCGCATTTCAGGGGCTTTTTTCGGGGAGAAATCCTCTGCACACTCACGCTGGCCAGTGGTGCATTTAGGACCGTTTTTTCACGCGTTTTTCGGGCATTACACCTGCACAGGGACTCTGTGGTTCTGGGACCTGCATTGCTCTATATCAAGCCGCATTTCAGGGGCTTTTTTCGAGGAGAAATCCTCCGCACACTCACGCTGGCCAGTGGTGCATTTAGGACCGTTTTTTTCACGCGTTTTTCGGGCATTACACATCCACAGAGTCTCCGTGGTTCTGGGACCTGCATTGCTCTATATCAAGCCGCATTTCAGGGGCTTTTTTCGGGGAGAAATCCTCCGCACACTCACGCTGGCCAGTGGTGCATTTAGGACCGTTTTTTCACTCGTTTTTCGGGCATTACACCTGCACAGGGACTCCGTGGTTCTGGGACCTGCATTGCTCTATATCAAGCCGCATTTCAGGGGCTTTTTTCGGGGAGAAATCCTCCGCACACTCACGCTGGCCAGTGGTGCATTTAGGACCGTTTTTTCACGCGTTTTTCGGGCATTACACATCCACAGAGTCTCGTGGTTCTGGGACCTGCATTGCTCTATATCAAGCCGCATTTCAGGGGCTTTTTTTTTCGGGGAGAAATCCTCCGCACACTCACGCTGGCCAGTGGTGCATTTAGGACCGTTTTTTCACGCGTTTTTCGGGCATTACACATCAGGGTCTCCGTGGCTGGGACCTGCATTGCTCTATATCAAGCCGCATTTCAGGGGCTTTTTTCGGGGAGAAATCCTCCGCACACTCACGCTGGCCAGTGGTGCATTTAGGACCGTTTTTTGCACCTGCACAGAGTCTCCGTGGTTCTGGGACCTGCATTGCTCTATATCAAGCCGCATTTCAGGGGCTTTTTTCGGGGAGAAATCCTCCGCACACTCACGCTAGCTCTCAGGCTCGCCAGTGGTGCATTTAGGCCCGTTTTTGACGCGTTTTTGGGGGATTAAACCTCCGAGGACCCCGCCACTTCAGGAGCTGCCCTCGGCTATATATTATAGACCGGCGTTCTTGCTCTCTCGCGGTGAGTACCCGTGGAATGTAACACCCTGGATCGCACGGTTAGGACAGTGTGGTTCTCCCATCCCTATACAAGCGTAATTTTAACCCGGGCCCTCTCGGGAAGTCATTTATTTCTGCACACCACACCACATACACGTTTTTGTTACCTGGTGGGTCCCTTTGACAGGGCCGTTACAGAATGGGACCCATAGACATAATCTTTTTTTACTGCGGACTACTTTAAGTAATACAAAACAGTCAATAGAAAACCAAACAACTCTTTTAAAGGAATTTTATTTTAGATTTTTTTTCGAATTGCAGTGATTCTATTTTTGGACATAGAAATTTAATGCCACCTCCATGTCCGATGTCTAAGGTCATCTGGTGAGGCATTAATGCAGGCCAGGCAGTGAGACTTCCCAGGGACTTTTCCAGTCTGTATGAAAGGCGTCATGGTCTTCTCCACAGCCTTCACCTCAGATGCAGACCATGGCTTTCTTACACGTTCTAGGGAGAGAAATAAAAATATATTAGCAATATACACTCCCAGGGTTAGGACCAAGCAGCCTGGCTGTAATCCCCCACCTGGTACACTTACCAGAAGGGGCACTGCCACTACCATGGGGTGCATCTGGATGAATGGTTGAAGGTTCTCCGCTTGAAGTTTCTTTTAGCCCGTCCGTTTGTGAGAGGATCTCTACTGCTCTCCCTGTCGCACAGAAAATAAAAATACAAGTGGCCTTTAGGGGAAAAAAATATTTTAATAATATCAAGAAATGCAGCCAGCGTAAGTTCAATTTGGTAGACGTCAGCCAAAGGTAACCCCTCCAGGCCGGTTCTCATCCCCAGCCTATCGCACGGCAAACGCCCCCTTCCAATCACCGGTCCAGCCCAGGCAAGCTGCTTAAAAGCGGAGGAACTCCCATTCTCGGCCTCTTGAAGCTGCAGCAAAGAGCGAAGCCTTGCAAAGAGTCGTTCTGGAGGAATCGCTTTGTTCTACTCTCACTTACATCGTGCGTGTCCCTGCTGTCCTCTGTCCTGCTGCGTGTCGTCTGCTCCTCCTCCACGTCGCTGCACCTGCTGCGGGTCTCGTGCTGTGGTCCGTGGGTCTTTGCCGCTCTCCTCCTTTGCGGGCTCTTTCTGCGGGTTTCGCCGCTGCTCGTCTCGTCGCGGCCTGCTGCTGCATACGGCCGGTCTGGACCGGTGCGGTGGGAGCCGTGCGCATCCCTGCCTCCTCGTGCCATACGGTGTGGTCCCGTCGTGTTGTCCCTTATCTTCTGGCGTTGCGGGTAAGTATGAGATCTGCGGACGGTTTATTCCCCTCGCATTGTCCTACAGGCTCAGTTTGGCCCCGCGCTTGTAATGCAGGCTCAGTTGGCCCCGTGCATTGGTGGGCAAGCATCAGTTTAAAGCCCTCGCATTGGTCCTGCAGGCTCTCTTTAACCAAGCTCCGTTTAAATCCTTCACTCTGACTGCAAGCTCCGTTTAATCCCTCAAATTGGACTGCGAGCTCTCAGTTTAATCCCTCACGGAACTGCATTATATCTGGAACTGCTTACGTATTATGGAACTGCTTACGTATTGTGGAACTGCTTACGTATTATGGAACTGCTTATGTATTACGGAACTGCTTATGTATTACGGAACTGCTTATGTATTATGGAACTGCTTTTATGGAACTGCTCATATTGGGACTGCTCATACCTGGAACTGATTATATGTTACTGCTTATACCTGGAACCGCTTATACAGTGCATGGAACTGCATATATTGGTTCTGCTTATATCTTGGACCTGCTTATATATGGATCTGCTTATATACGGAACTGCTTATACATGGATCTCATATTGGAACTGCTCATATTGGAACTGCTCATATTGGAACTGCTCATATTGGAACTGCTCATATAATATATGGAACTGTATATATATGGAACTGTATATATATGGAACTGTATATATATGGAACTGTATATATATGGAACTGTATATATATGGAACTGTATATATATGGAACTGCTTGTATATGGAACTGCTTGTATATGGAACTGCTTGTATATGGAACTGCTTATATCTGGCTCCGTCTCCTCCCTCAACGACGCTGTCTGCCCGGACGCGGGGTGCCGCTCCGACCTGGCATTCGGGTCCCGTCTGCAGAGCCGCTGGGACGGTGTATTTTTTTTTACAGTGACGTCATCCCGTCCTCAGATGCCCTGCGGTTCTTCACGGACGCAGCCCCGTCCGTGGGTTTTGGGGGTCTCTTCCAGGTCCAGTGGTTCGCCGGGCCCTGGCCCGACGCCTTCCCTCAAAGCATCTCCTCCGCGCTCCCGATAACCTTCCAATGTCATCCGTCTGTTTCAGAGCCCAACTCAAGTCCGTACTGCTGCTTGTAACCTGTCTCCCCATCTCTACACAGCCCACTCCTTCGGATAGGCGCCGCCACGCGCGCCGCGTCCCTTGGGCTCCCCTATTCCGCCCTCCAGCAGCTGGGCCGCTGGTCATCATCGGCCCTCTCCTCATACATCAGGCCTGACACTTCGACCATCCTGGCAGCCCAGCGCCTCTTTGCATCTCCATAAAACACTTGCAAACTTCCTGGTGGCGGCAGCAGCTGAGTATCCGCAAGCATGGTCGCAGCAGCTGAGTATCCGCAAGCAATGGTCGCAGCAGCTGAGTATCCGCAAGCAATGGTCGCAGCAGCTGAGTATCCGCAAGCAATGGTCGCCCGCAGAGACTGTTCGGCAGAGACTGCTCGGCAGAGACTGCTCGGCAGAGACTGCTCGGCAGAGACTGCTCGGCAGAGACTGCTCGGCAGAGACTGCTCGGATGAGGATCCGCAAGTTTGGTCACAATAGATAGCGGTCACAGTATATAGCGATAGCGGTCACAGTATATAGCAAAATGGTTAGCGGTCACAGTATATAGCAAAAAATGGTTAGCGGTCACAGTATATAGCAAAAAATGGTTAGCGCGCGATGGTCGCGACTCGTCAGCATATAGCGATAGCGGTCACAGTATATAGCGATAGCGGTCACAGCATAGAGTAGTCTCGACGTCTGTCCCCTTCAAACCAGGCTGCAAAACTCCATCAACTCACAACCTTTTTGGGGATTGGCATGCTCCATCGCAGAGCCCCTCCGATCTGAAGGCCGCACCGGGGCCTAGGGCGCCAAACCTCCTCCCAATAAATACTCAAAAGCTTCTTGTTTCACGTCTCTCCAAATTGAAATGCAGCCAGCGTAAGTTCAATTTGGTAGACGTCAGCCAAAGGTAACCCCTCCAGGCCGGTTCTCATCCCCAGCCTATCGCACGGCAAACGCCCCCTTCCAATCCCCGGTCCAGCCAGGCAAGCTGCTTAAAAGCGGAGGAACTCCCATTCTCGGCCTCTTGAAGCTGCAGCCACCGCCTCCCCTCCTCCTCCTCTTCACCCTGCTTCATTCTGCCTTCAATCTGCTTCCCGCTGCCAAATGCCGCCACCAGTGCCTAGGTCCCGGGGGATTGGCATGCTCCATCGCAGAGCCCCTCCGATCTGAAGGCCGCACCGGGGCCTAGGGCGCCAAACCTCCTCCCAATAAATACTCAAAAGCTTCTTGTTTCACGTCTCTCCAAATTGAATTACCTTCAGGCTCAATTTGTATCTGGTCGAGGCTCTTTCCTTTGAATTCCGTCACTCTTCCCTGCTCCATGGCCATCAACACTTTGCTGATTTTGGCCAGCTCCAGTGTCCCCTCTGGTAGTCTGTAATATTGTCTGTGGATGCGAATGTCATGGCCGAGGAAGTTGGCTAGTATGTCCATTTCATTCTCTTTCATATTGAGAACTGTAGACATAGAGTAGCTATGTGCTTTCTAAGTTTGGTTGAGGATAGCATCTCTGGATGCACCGCACCACATTCTTTGGCTACCTGCCGTAGGGAGTCTGATCCCCTGATGTGGGTGTCTGTGCCCGGGCGGGAGAAGAAGTATGGGTTATGGTCAGAGATGGAACAGGCCCTTCTGTTCTCCACCAGCACCTCCATCGAAGCAATCATTTCAGGAGTCAAAAGAACCGGCACTTTCCGACTTCTTTTCCCTTTAATTTCAATGCGTTGAAAATGCTGACACAGCTTTTTCTCAAGTTCGGACAGTCCCAGAGCAATATCAGAATGGATCCCAGTCTTACTTCTTAAGGTGAACGCTGTCAGTGGCATCTTTGAAACCTCACCTTCCCTTCTTCGATTGAAAATAATGACCTCACAAAGAGTCAAAACTGCCAGTTTAGACCAATGCTTAGACGTTGGCTCACTTATTAGGGTTTGCACATATTCAGGTCGACATACCTCAATATGTGCATGCATGGCTCTAACGTCCTCAGTCAGAGGGAGCAGGTCCGGAGTGTTCCACTTGGCTTGCCGGAGGGTCTGTAGGGCAGCAGAAGAAACACAGACGTCCCACCTCTTCTCAAAAAGCAGCCGGCTTCGTTGGAGGTTTTTAATAAATAGTTCATCAACACAATGCTCCATTTTTGAGTCACATTCAAGAATATCTGCTAGCTTTCTGAGGCTATGGCCGAGTTTGAGGGCCAAGGATGGAGTCTTGTATTGATTTGTTTCCTCATCATATCCAGCCACAGACTTGACTGCATCAATCACATGGTTAAAGTTGGAAGGAATAAAGAAATCCTTAATTGTTTTCAGTTTCCCTGCGGTTTTTGCTTCGTTAATTATCTACCGACTTCTCTCATTTTTTGCCTAATGTAATCATGCTTAGTCTTATCATGCCCGTGTTTTAAGTACAGGTGCTCTCCGAGTCTCAGAATCCCCTTTTCTGCTTTGACAACACCCGTGACCTCATCCTGATGCATTGCCGAAATTAAAGACCACAGCTTTTTGCTGATGCCCTCCGGTACAGGCTGGGCTAGGGAGCAGAGGGACTGGACCCTACTTCTACCTGGTTTAGCCTGGGCATCTTTCTGTGAAAGCCGGCACCTGGCCACATGCCTCCACAGCGACTTTCGCTTAAGCAATGCCCCACAGTCTATACAGTGCAAAAACTCACTGGATTTAACTGGGGAATTTGGCTGTTTAGCTGGGACTAAAGTTCCAATGCCGGCCTTTAAAACCTCAAAATTGTGCTCACGGTTTCCACTATTCCTGATCAAATCAAACTGAAGTTTACGTGCTTTAGATTTCACAGGTAGAGCCAATGCTCTGGCTACGTCACTTTCATTTCCATGTTTTCTAGTCAAATGACGGGACATTTTGTGGCAGGACATTGAACAGTAGAGGCAGAAGTGTCTCTTGCTGTAAACTCACCCCCCATTTTTCTTCTTTTGCAGCTGCATGATAACAATCTTATTTGCCTTTGGTTCGTCACTTTCCGAGTCTTGAAGAAAAGTGTTTTTGATTTTTCTTTTTCCATACTTTTTTACAGGTTTCTTCTTGACAGTTAAATCGTCAGAATCTGAGTCGACTTCATCAATTAGGGAGTCTTGACTAAGCTGCACAAACAACAAATAATTTGTAATAATTCTATATAACAATTTGAAGTCATGACTTGTAGTCAGCACTTACAAGTGGTTTGTAAGCGTGCGCTTCAGTGTGCTCCTCCATGATTTCTTGCAGCCTAATGAACCACACACTTGCACCTTTTCTAGCCTGACACCTGATTTCCTCTGTTGTGCTGCTCCATGATTGGCTCCAGCCTGCTGGACTGAAATTGCCCCAGTGTGCCCCTCCTTGATATTCCGCAACCCACCACCAGGGTTCCGACACATAACACACTTTTTTCAGGAAAGTAAACCTCCAGGGGTCCTTTCCATATTTTTACAGAGACTGCATAAGGACCGTTAGAAAAGCATTACCCATTGATTATTAAGCTTGGACCAGTGGGGTCCGGTGTTCGGGCCCCACCACGTAAAACCAGTCCCCATGACGTGAGTGGAATCTCAGGTTATGGAACCCACCAGGAGTTGAAAACAAGTGCACACATATTCTCAAAGAATAAGGGTGGGCGCATTTCTCCCCGGGAGAGAGCGCATGAAATCTGTCTTGAAAAAGAGCAATGACAGGTCCCAGAACCAAGGGGAGTCCCTGGAGGTTTTAACCTTGAAAAAAGCCCTTAAATCCGGCTTAAAATAGGGCCATGCGGGTCCCAGAACCGAGGGGGTCCACCGGCAGCCGCGCCCGGACCACGCGGCAGGTGGCCACCTGGCATTGTGGGGGGGGGGGGGGGGGGGGGACTGAGATTGTTGACCCAGGACTGAGGCTGTAGACCCAGGACTGAGGCTTTTGACCCAGGACTGAGGCTGTAGACCCAGGACTAAGACTCGAGACCCAGGACTGAGACTCAAGACCCAGGACTGCGGCTATAGACCCAGGACTGTAGCTACAGACCCAAGACTCGGGCTGAGGAGTCCCAGGACTCGGGCTGAGGAGATCCAGGACTCGGGCTTAGGAGACCCAGGACTCGGGCTGAGGAGACCCAGGACTGTGGCTGTATAGACCCAGGACTGAGAATATAGACCCAGGACTGAGAATTTAGACCCAGGACTGAGGCTTTAGACCCAGGACTGCGGCTGTAGACCCAGGACTGAGGCTGTTGACCCAGGACTGAGGCTGTAGACCCAGGACTAAGACTCGAGACCCAGGACTGAGACTCAAGACCCAGGACTGCGGCTATAGACCCAGGACTGTAGCTACAGACCCAAGACTCGGGCTGAGGAGTCCCAGGACTCGGGCCGAGGAGATCCAGGACTCGGGCTCAGGAGACCCAGGACTCGGGCTGAGGAGACCCAGGACTGTGGCTGTATAGACCCAGGACTGAGAATATAGACCCAGGACTGAGAATTTAGACCCAGGACTGAGGCTTTAGACCCAGGACTGCGGCTGTAGACCCAGGACTGAGGCTGTTGACCCAGGACTGAGGCTGTAGACCCAGGACTAAGACTCGAGACCCAGGACTGAGACTCAAGACCCAGGACTGCGGCTATAGACCCAGGACTGTAGCTACAGACCCAAGACTCGGGCTGAGGAGTCCCAGGACTCGGGCCGAGGAGATCCAGGACTCGGGCTCAGGAGACCCAGGACTCGGGCTGAGGAGACCCAGGACTGTGGCTGTATAGACCCAGGACTGAGACTATAGACCCAGGACTGAGAATATAGACCCAGGACTGAGGCTTTAGACCCAGGACTGCGGCTGTAGACCCAGGACTGAGGCTGTTGACCCAGGACTGAGGCTGTAGACCCAGGACTAAGACTCGAGACCCAGGACTGAGACTCAAGACCCAGGACTGCGGCTATAGACCCAGGACTCGGGCTGAGGAGACCCAGGACTGAGGCTGTTGACCCAGGACTGAGGCTGTAGACCCAGGACTAAGACTCGAGACCCAGGACTGAGACTGTTGACCCAGGACTGAGGCTGTAGACCCAGGACTGAGGCTGTTGACCCAAGACTGAGGCTGTAGACCCAGGACTAAGACTCGAGACCCAGGACTGAGACTCAAGACCCAGGACTGCGGCTATAGACCCAGGACTGTAGCTACAGACCCAAGACTCGGGCTGAGGAGTCCCAGGACTCGGGCCGAGGAGATCCAGGACTCGGGCTCAGGAGACCCAGGACTCGGGCTGAGGAGACCCAGGACTGTGGCTGTATAGACCCAGGACTGAGAATATAGACCCAGGACTGAGAATTTAGACCCAGGACTGAGTCTTTAGACCCAGGACTGCGGCTGTAGACCCAGGACTGAGGCTGTTGACCCAGGACTGAGGCTGTAGACCCAGGACTAAGGACTCGAGACCCAGGACTGAGACTCAAGACCCAGGACTGCGGCTATAGACCCAGGACTCGGGCTGAGGAGTCCCAGGACTGCGGTTGTAAAGATCCAGGACTGAGAATATAGACCCAGGACTGAGGCTTTAGACCCAGGACTGCGGCTGTAGACCCAGGACTGCGGCTGTAGACCCAGGACTGCGGCTATAGACCCAGGACTCGGGCTGAGGAGTCCCGGGACTCGGGCTGAGGAGACCCGGGACTCAGGCTGAGGAGTCCGGAACTAGGGGCTGAGGAGTCCCGGGACTCGGCTGAGGAGTCCCGGGACTCGGGCTGAGGAGGCCCAGGACTGCGGCTGTATAGACCCAAAACTGAGGCTGTAGACCCAGGACTGAGGCAGAAGACCCAGGACTGAGGCAGTAGACACAGGACTGAGGCTGTAGACCCAGGACTGAGGCTGTAGACCCAGGACTGTAGCTACAGACCCAAGACTCGGGCTGAAGAGAACCAGGACTCGGGCTGAGGAGACCCAGGACTGAGAATTATAGACCCAGGACTGAGGTTGTAGACCCAGGACTCAAGCTGTAGACCCAGGACTCGGGCTGAGGAGTCCCGGGACCTCGGGCTGAGGAGACCCGGGACTCAGGCTGAGGAGTCCCGGAACTAGGGCTGAGGAGTCCCGGGACTCGGGCTGAGGAGTCCCGGGACTCGGGCTGAGGAGTCCCAGGACTGCGGCTGTAGACCCAAAACTGAGGCTGTAGACCCAGGACTGAGGCAGAAGACCCAGGACTGAGGCAGTAGACACAGGACTGAGGCTGTAGACCCAGGACTGAGGCTGTAGACCCAGGACTGTAGCTACAGACCCAAGACTCGGGCTGAAGAGAACCAGGACTCGGGCTGAGGAGACCCAGGACTGAGAATATAGACCCAGGACTGAGGTTGTAGACCCAGGACTCAAGCTGTAGACCCAGGACTCGGGCTGAGGAGTCCCAGGACTCGGTCTGAGGAATCCCAGGACTCGGGCTGAGGAATCCCAGAACTCGGGCTGAGAAGACCCAGGACTGCGGCTTTAGACCCAGGACTGCTGCTATAGACCCAGGACTGCTGCTATAGACCCAGGACTCGGGCTGAGGAGACCCAGGACTTGGGGTGAGGAGACCCAAGACTCGGGCTGAGGAGACCCAGGACTCGGGCTGAGGAGACCCAGGACTCGGGCTGAGGAGTCCCAGGACTCGGGCTGAGAAGACCCAGGACTGCGGCTTTAGACCCAGGACTGCTGCTA